GTGATCATGTATTGTGTTATATTATATTTCTGGAAAATTTAAGGGGTAGTTATATAATAATTTTGGACAATCTCGGGTGGTCGGATACTTATGACCACTACTGTAAGAACTTGTTTTAGAAAATTTTCTGAATTAACTATTAATTTTTTATTTTAGCTAAAATTTTGTCTGAATATTATTAGTAAAAAATGGTATACATCGAGTTTAGTATGCAAAAGATGATATATCATCAACTTTAAAAGTGAATATAGAATTATCACTCACAATGTGCGTAAATATTACTTAGTTCATATTTATTATTTCTTTCTGTATTATTAATCATTATATGTATATATAATAGATCTCTTATTAAAACTCATACCTACAAATTTGATTAAAACTGAATTGTATTTTGATTTATTTAATGACTCAATTAAAGATAAAACATATAATGCATTATTTGCTAAATTATCTTTTCATTAGAAAATGATTATTAAATGTATAGAGATTGTAAATGAACCACCATTAGACTTAACAGAAGAAGAATTTATATAAAGTTTAAATGAAAATAGCGTAAAAACCTTATCACATAGTTTTATATTATGATTATTTGATACATGAATAAATAATTTTTTATGTGACAATAAATAACTTATGTTAATTTATATTAACCAACTTCTGAATTTCAGCTTTTCTATAACAATCCAACTTTTTTTTTTATTATTTTGTTAGTGATATAATTTAAAATTTTTTTTTTTTTGTATGTAAGATCATTTATTTTTATATATATATATATTTTTATTTACTTAGTTAAGTATATAATAAGTCTAATTTCTTTAGCAAAATTTTTCTTATTTATTTTATAATAGCCTATCGTAAGAATTTATTATAATACTAATAAAAAAAACTTACACAATCATTAATTTAAAAGAATATATAATATTTTGATTTAATATATATAAATCTTATTAAATAAAAATTAAAAAAAAGCTTTATTTTATTTCTTAAAATATTTTACTGTAATATTATAATAAGATTCTTCTTTTTATATTATATAACATTTTATCTATAAAAATATTTATCTAAGTTTTTTATCTAATATTTCATTTAATATTTCAGAATATTATTAAATAGTTTTTTTTATCTTTATTTATATTACAGATTCTATTATATAATAAATTTAAACTTTATAACCCTTTTTATCTCTTATTATAATAATTATATATAGTAATAATACAATAATTTTTTATATTTAAATATATATTACTTACAAATTTTTTAGTATAATACATACAACTTAATCACAATCAATAAATTTAATAAAATTCAAAATTGTTACTTCTTAAAAAAATTATAAACATAAATATAAAAATAAAATAATAAAGTAACTCAAATTTAACAAAACTATGTTTTTAAAATTTTGATAAAATTATTTTTAATAAAATGAGATCATTTTATTATTAAATCAGAAAATTTAGTTAGTTGATTTTTATTTTTGTGATAATAATCAAAATCATAATCTTAGAAAAAAGATTTAATATCTTCTTATTACCTTTTTCAGCAGATTTTCAGATTTTGCAATTTTATTATTAGTTCATATTTGAAAGTTTTTTAAAAGATAAGTAATTTATTTTAATTATTATTATTAATATATGTAAATTTTACATATTACTAATTTTTTATTTTTTTTTTACTACTTATAGATAGTATAAATAATTCAGTATATCTTATTTAAATAATAATTATATAAAATTGAATTTAAAATCTAGCAATATAAGCAATATTTTTTAATTATAAATTCTACTACTCAACTTGTTAATAGGAATAAAAAAAGTTTCAAATAAACTAACTTAAAGTTAATTTTAAATAAGGTTGCTTGTCTAAACTTATTTTAGATTTAACAAAACATCTAAATTATAATTTTGCTAAATTTACTAAAGTTTTGATATAGTTTCACATTTTTATAAGCTTTGATATAGTTTTATCTTTTTCAGAATTTCGTAAATTTTTTAATAAGTTTTTAATATAATTTCACTAAATTTTACCTTTTTTCATTTAGATGACTTGCAAAACCTCTAAGTTTCATCCAGCAACCTTAGTTCTAAAATAGAATATCAGTTTTACTCTTAAATTAAATTGAAGAGTTAAAATAGAATAATCAGTATTATTTAAATTTATAATATTAGTATTTTAGTTATTTTAAAATATAATTAAAATAAACAAATAAATTTGAGAAAATTTATTTCTCATCCGGGTGATTTCTTATCCTATATTCACGTGACCGCCTGATTAATAATCACATCAGAGATCTGGATAAGTCACGTTAAATTTTCAATAATAATAAATAAAAAAAAATAGCTACGCATAAAACTCTTTGCTTTCTAAGTCATAACGATTCTTTTCTAACAGTAATAAAGGGTTTTGTAATGAAGAGTAGAGTTTTATACTGTTTGTCTCTAACTTTTTTGCTACTAGAGTTTGAGAAGAGAAGTTGTTTTTTTTTTCAATCTGCAAAGGGTTTAAATTTGAAGGATTTTTTCTTTAAAGGTTCAAAATCTTTTGTTGTTCCTTCAGCATTTTTTGTTCTTTATATTTTTTTTTGAAGAGAGAAGTTTGAAAGTCATTTTTCTTTGAAGTTCTCTTTACTGGTGTTGACAATTTGCTTCTTTCTTTTGAGTTTTTTTTCTTCAAAATTTTTTTTTCTTTGAAGTTTTTTTTTTCCTCTGAAAATTCTTTTCAATTTCTTTGAAGTTTTCTTGACTAGTGGTGTTTCTTAAAGTTCTTTCTCTGAAGTTTTTTTTCCTTCAGAGTTTTTTTTTCCCTCCAAAAATTCTTTCTTCAATTTCTTTGACTGGTGGTATTCTGAATTTTTTTTTGAGCTTTTTTTTCTCAAAAATTTTTAGTACCACTTTAATATCCATTGCAAGTAATAAATGACCATTCTATCTGCTCTAATATTATAAACATGCTTACCTCTGAAGCCTTCATGGAAGGTCTTTATTTGCTTGTCAAACATTCATGTTTTTTTACTTTTTGTGCTTATGCTAATCATGTTTTGCGATGCCGCATCCTTTATAGAACCCACCAATAATAATAATGATGAAGAAGAGTATATTTTTAGAGATGTATTAGGCTCTAAATTTAAAGGTTATAACAGTGTTTTTTCACCAATCAATACTCCGATTGAAATTGAGTTGGAAACTAAGTTTCACTCTATGCAAATCGCAATACATTTTATAGAATAATATGCTCTTCAAAATAACTTTGCCATCTTTAAGCACAAGACTGAAAAATTTTCAGATGGTACTTGTAGAAAAAGGGTACTTAAATGTGATTTGGGAGGAAGGTATGTTGAAAAATATTCAAGACCGATATTAGGTAAAAAAAAGAGTAAAGGAAGCAAAAAGCAAGGCTGTATGTAGCAAGTAAACGTTAATAGATGATCAAATTCACTAATAGCAACTGTAATGTCATTTAATAATGAACACAACCATGAGATTTCTATTGAAACTGTAAAATTTTCTACCACTTACAAAAATTTTTCTAAAGAAATTATGAAACAGATAGAATTTTATGTTATGCATAGCCAATGTGATGCAGGAACAATTAGAAACCTCTTTCAACTAAAGTATCCTGATCATGTGTTTCTTATTCAAGACCTAGGGAATGCAATTCAAAGAATTAAACAAGAAAAGGGATTGAATTTAGGGGAAATAGCATCTCTATTAATAAAGCTTCTTGAATTGCAAGCTAATGATCCCGCATAGTTTGTAAAGCTATTAATAGATGATACAAGTAACCAGTTAGTTAGTATTTTCTAGATGTTACCAGAGCAGCATGAAAGATAAACAAAATTTTATGATATCATTATTCATAACAATATTGCAAGAACAAATAAATATAACTATCTGTTAAGTCTCTTCATATTAATCGATAACTATAATAAGAGTAGGTTGGTAGCTCAAGCATTCATGCAGAATGAAAGACAAGAATTATACGAATGGTTACTTCAATGTTGTCTTGAAGCATGTGAAATTCCTCCATTAACATTTGTTACTGATGCTGACCCTGCAATGATTGCAGCCATTTCTATAGTATTTTCAGAGACTCATCATATGCAATGTTTATACTATTTCTATCAAAATCTTTCAAAAAACCTTCGTTCATGTTTAGGATCATCACTTTATTAGGAATTCCTTAAAGATCTTAAAGGAATTCAATGCTCTTATTGCGAAAATGTATTTAAAAAATGAATCAAAGGGATAGTTGAAAAATATAAGGTGAGAAGTAAATATATAACCACAATACTATTGAATCGAAAGCATACTTGGGTAAAATGCTTTACATCATGACATTTCACAGCGAGAACGCAATCTACATAGCATGTGGAATCAGAAAATGCATTAATAAAAAAGGCTGTGCAGTCAAGTTTCTCTCTCTTACAAGTTCAAGAATCTCTCGAAAATTGGTTAGAATTTGAGTCAATTAACAATCGTTATTCAATCTAGAAAGCTTCAACATTACAATACACACAACTTTTCATCATACAAATATTCTTTAGTAGTATTGATAATATCATAAATAAATATCTCATACAGCTAATTCATGATGCATATTATAAACAAATGTATCAATCTGTATACTATTATACACATCAAGTACAATTTTCTGAAATTCCAGTATCAGATGATGATTCATTTGAACCTTTTTTTGATAAAGTAGAAGATTCTGCCAAATTTCTTATTGAAGCTGATGAGGATTGGAAGCTTGACTTGAAGTTTTTGATTTCAATGGTTAATTTTAACGATATTTTAGAAGTTTGAAAGATTTCTCAATACAATTACCTGAAATGCTATCAACATATATTCTACTTCATATTGGAGAATACTTATGCACTTGTTTTATGCTTATCACTCATGGTATTATATGCAGGCATTTTTTTAAAGTGTTGTTGAATCTTCTAATACATGTTTTCATTTGACATTGATTTCTAAGCGTTGGTATAAGGATAAATATATCAATTTAAGCAATACCTGTTCTAGTAAGACAATTATAAGTAATGGCCAAAATGATCAAAATGGTGCGCAAATCACTTTAGAATTTGCCTGAAAATATACCATAAATGATCTTTTAGAAAGGTATTCTAAGCAAATATCACGAAATCAATTAAAATTTGGTACTCTAATAGGCGAAGCCAAAAAGGCAATTCAATTTGCAATTCAAGATGATAATGAAGAACTGATTCAGTTTATCAAGAATTTTAATAAAAGAAAAAAAGCTCAACTAATTCAAGCAGAATCGATTAAGTAACAAAAAGCTTTAGCGAATAGAAAAATGAATGACAATCAGGTCCTTTATAATACAAAAGAAGTATTGATCAATTCTAATCAGATCTTGGATCTATTGAAGTATCAGCCTAAAGGAAGACCACCAACAAAACGGTTGAAGCCATCTGTTGAAAAATCAGATTCAAAAGGCAAAGGTAGAGGTGAACAAGCAATATCTGATAGATGTTGTAAGTGTGGCTCATGTGAAGAATATGGTCATTATTGTAGCACTTATTCTAAGGGTTAGGTTACAATACTTAATCACGTGTTTATAGTACGAGATCAAAGTGTTGTTTATTAGTTTCACTTAATAATAGCATGAGATCGTGTTAATCTTATAGTAATAGCATATTTGCAATATTTTGGCTTTAATTATTACATTGGTGTAGAATTTAAACAATAAATATTGATAAATGCTATTTTTTTATAATAATTGTTGTTAATAAAAAATGCATACAAAAAAAATTATAAGGGTGAAAAATAATTTATCTCATCCAGGATAAGGAATAAATTTACTTAATAAATTTATGATTTATAATTTTTATGATATAGTAATTTTAATTAATGATAATATTTTTAATAGTAATTTTGTATTTATAATTTTGTAATGATAATTTTTGTAATAGTAATTTTGTAATACCAATTTTTATAACAATAATACTTATATCAGTTATTTTAAAATAGTAATTTATATAATAGTAATTGCTAAAATAATAATTTGTAACTATTTTTTTTTAAAAAATGATAATTGTAAAACAAAATCTAAATAATTCTCTTTGTTAAAATAAATAAACAAAAAAATCTCTTCTAAAGAACATTAAATAGTAATAAATTTAATCCTAACCAACCTGAAAATAATAAAAATAAGTGAATAATTAACCTTGATAAAATTAATTCTAATGAATCTATTAGTAATATTTCAAAAGCTAATCAGACTTCAAGTTCAAAAGCAAGCATTTTTATTAGGAAATAGTAGTATATAATTATATTTTAATAAGAATTCAACTAACGTATTAGGTTATAATTAGAAATATTAAGCAGTTCTTAAGTGATTCTTATGATTTAAGAGATTACTAACTTTAGAGAAATCTAATCACTTATCTATAATAAGTAACCCCATCAAAAAAATAGCATAAAAATGTAGTTATTTTTATATTTTGCGTTTTGATAGTTGCGAATCATGATTTCAGTGTTTAGGACCAAGACATACTTGGATTTTACGGTACCTACGAAAAAAATACCTAATATGCGGTTTTGGCAATTAAAACATTATTTGGGTTTTTATCGAAATGGTCTTACCATTCAAAAATGTCAAGAAATTGAAACCG